ATCAGAATTTGAAGGATTTTGTGAAGGCAGAATGATTGATGGGGGGACGAAACAGGGGAATTTGGAATTGGAATTTGGAAATCTGGTAAGAAAACTGGCATCACACTTGTGGCTGTGCTCTTTGTAAGCTCAGGGATTGGACAGCCTGTTGTTTCACCAGAGTGAGGATAGCTGGCCTGCCCCTTCCTCCCTCATGGATGAACTTTTTATGGTGTTTACTCCTCTCCAGCACTGCCTCACTGCATCATTTTCCTGCCTCCTCAGACGATGGGGGACTAAAGATATGAACTCTTTCCTCCACGGTTCCTTGGCAGCTGGCAGTGAATGACCCTGGTCCCTGCAGATATATTTTTGGTTTGGTTATTCCATCATTTGTGTTTCACAAATCCTATTATCTCCCAGCAGTGTGACTGCCCATGGTTTCCCTCATTCCACTAGTTTGCCATGCCCCGAATTCTTAAGAGGTCTCTTGTGTTTTGTTTTTTGTTTTTTCTCTCTCCTCACGCCTATACTTTAATTTCTCAGTATTTCTATTGGATTTCTAAGGCCTTTGAAAAACACTTCTCTGTGATCTGCCCTGCAGCACTCCTTGCCAGTCTGGGGGACAGAAATGCTCCTCCTGAGGTGTGTTTTGGACTGATTCTCAACAAAAGCTTCAAGAGCACCTGGCAAGTGTAGCCTAAACAGTGCAGTTTATTGGTGGGGCAGTGCATGCCAGCAAAACACGTGTGATACCTCCTGCTGCTGGCTGAAAACAAAAGGAAAACCACTTTGATGAACTCTTAAAAGGTTGGTTTACTTTTACAGATTCCACAAAAAAACCTCACTGCAGCCAGAAACTAAAATACCACTCTGCCCACAATGGCAGGATTGACTCTGTTTGACTTGAGGTGTGTAACAGAGGCACCCTGGATCACACCACCCTCCTTCTTGGTCTCTCTCTTGACTATATAGGGAATTTGGTCAGCTAATTCTGGCCTTGAATCACACCCACAGCAGATGACTAATGCTGCTTTAAACAGAGATTTCTACTATAAACCCTCACTGAATGGGCCTAGTGCCTTCCTGGTGGCACATGAGGGGCTGGCACTGCCCAGAGTTGTAACTCAGGTGACCTTGGCCAGGCCAGTGTCCCCTCCCTCTCATCCCTGTCACTGCAGGGGAGAGGGGCAGGCAAGGAAAGCTCTCCTGGCCTGGGACAGCAGGGCTGCAAACCCAAGCACTTCTCTCCATGGGTGATTTACTGCTCCCCTCCCTGCTCAGTGGCTGCCCAGGGGGATGGTGCTACAGCACACTCCTGTGGTTTTTTTTGGAAACCAAGTGGTGCAGAGCAGGAGATCCATCCAGCTGGAGAGACTGGAAGAGGGAGGGGAAGGGCTTCAGTGCCACCTTAGCTAGGTTTTACCCCAGGTTTCTTCAACATCCACCTCCTACTTCCCTTTTTTTTTTAACTTATTTCTTCACTTTTCCATAAATAGCTTAATGCTTCTCAAGTCCCAGCCTTGGAGGGGGAAGGGTGGACAGAGGCCTGCCTGAGCTCTCACCAAACAATTCCCAGAGAGGAACCAGGTGGGTAAAGGGATAATGGATGGGCAGCACAGCTGAGGTGCCCACTCAGTGCTGAGGCTGCCCAGGGTGAGGTATTTGAGGTGCTCAGTCAGCAAAGATCCCTGAGCAGCCACGGGTGTCTCCCAGTCACTTCTGGCCCATTTCCCCAGTTAATCTCTTTTCCAGCAGTGTTGTCACACCTTCCCATTCCCCTTTCTCCCAGCCACCTGAATTTTCCAGCTCATTGTGGTGAGGATATAATTATTTAAATTGCTCTCCATAGTTACAGGCAGGCTGTAAAACCAATAACCTGAACTAGTGCCCCAACCTAGATAATGTGCTCTAGAATCTGAAACCCTGAACTCCAGCACAGGTACATTTGATACCTGTGGCAGAGATATGCGATCAAATTTCTGCTGATCCACCAGAATTCCTGAGAAACTTTCTAGTGCACTTGTGTGTATTATCCCCTCTTTGGTTTTTGTGGGCAGAGCTGCAGCCATCTGTCCAAAACCTGTGTCTGACACCTGAGTGGGAGCTCCAGTAGAGTGACATGAGAAAAAGTAGGATTGTTGCTCATTAAAAAAAAATAAAAAGTCCCTTGACCGTACATTCAAACCAAGCTTTTGAATTGAAAAAGAGTGAAGACAAAAAATACCTAGAAAGCCATGGAAGTGTGGCCTGTTCAGAATTTGCAGCTGTAAAGTGCTTGGAATTCTGAGCCTGGCAGGGAAGCCTTGGTGCTGCTGGAGGCCACACCTTGTGCCAGCTGGGCTCTGCTCACCTATGCCAGCCCAGCTGCCAGGGGGTTTGGCAGGAATGGGAGCTCAGGTCTTTTGCCAGCTTGTATAAATGCTGTTCCCGACAGAAAAACGATGAAGTTGTTCTTTTTCCCCGCCTGGGAGCCATTAGGGAAAGTCAGAGCAGTCCTTTTACAGCCAGGCTTCCCTTTGATGGCCACCTTCCTTATCAGCACAGCTCTGCCAAGCTGGGGATACTCAGGGTTTGGTGTTTGAGATCACAGAGCTCAGAAAGGACTGGAAGTGTGTAAGAAGAGCAACTGCAGCTTTCTTCTTTCCTTGAGCCAGTTGGTACTTTATCCTTAGGCAATGTCAATTAAAAATTCAAACGGGCAGTCAACTCAACAAAACCCCATTTATTCTGTGAAAAAGCAAGCAAAGACATGGCTTTTGGGGCTAGATCCACTTGAGGCAGGGCTGGAGGAGCACAGGTCTGGAGATGGGGAGGTTGAAAATCCCCCAGGAGCTCTGCAGAGTGCTCTCCCCTTTTTCACACTCGCTTTTTCTAGAGCTGAGCTCCAGCACTTCCAGCGGAGGAGGTCGAGGCTGCTCTCAAAAGCTGGGTGTTTCCACCCCATGGCTTGTGAAAAAGCAGCCCTAACCCAAGTCCCTGACAAGAAACACTTCTTACTCATGCTCTACTCAAAAGTTACTCTACCCTGGCAGCCAAGCTCACGGAGAGCAAACACCTCTGCCAGCAGCAGGGATGGGCTCCAGGTGTGAGAGGGATCCTGGGTTGTGAGCAAGCACAGGGACAGGAGGCTCAGGAGCTGCCAGGCTCAGCCCTGTACTCCCAGACAAGCTGCTTCCACTTTGTTCCAGTCTTCCCACCCAAGAAAAGAGAATAATATTTGCTCACCTCCCTCGCCGGGCTGTTGGGAGATGGCAATGAATGTCTGCACAGTGCTGCAAACATAGAAGGTGCTAGAAAAATGTGGGGCCTGTAGGTTCCCAGCAGCATATTTGAACGTTGCAGGAAAGGGAAATAGGGTGCTCAGACACTTGAGGGGTGAGCACGACAGGTTTATTGCAGGCAGGAATGTTTAAACTCACAAATCCAGGGGGTGCCAGAATGGGTTTATGAGGAGGTGATGGACTGCAGGCACTCCATAAAGCACAGCCCTGCCGACCAGTGGCACTGGGGGAGAGCTGGGTGCTGACCTGAGCGGGCTGTCACATCTGTCACCCTGCCAGGGGGCTGGGCAAGGCTGAGCAGTGTGGAAAGGAGGCTGATGTGTCCTAGGAGTCACCTCCGAGCAGAGCCAGAGCAGAAAAGTGGGTGCCACAAGCCCTTGCCTGCAGACACTCGTTATCAGGGACCTGTGAGAGGTGTTTGTGCTCCTGCAGGGCTGGTGAGGGGCTGCAAGTGCCACCACTTCAGCAGCCTGCAGAGCTGCCACTGCTGCTGGGGACATGCACACTGCTGTGCTGAGCCCCCAGCCCGCCCTGGGTGTGAGGAGGGGGACAGGAGCCATTCCCTGCTCTGCTTTCCCTGGATCTGCAGGCTCACTGTCCCAACACACTCAGCCCGAGGCTGCAGAATTTGGTCCAGGCTGGGGTAGTACCCAGTGGGACATGGCCACTGGGTGGCCATGGTGGTGATATCTGTGGCAGAGATAGGCAATCAAATTTCTCCTGATCCACCAGAACTCCTGAGAAACTTTCTAGTGCACTTGGGTGTATTATCCCCTCTTTGGTTTTTATGGGCAGGGCTGCAGCCATCTGTCCAAAACCTGTGTCTGACACCCGGGTTGGACACTGTTATGGACAAAATTCAATTGGGGAGGCTAATTATAGATAAATCAATTAACAAGAATTTATTAAGCAAGGGGTATTAAGCAAAAGAACAGCGCTGGGCGGCTGGGGAGTCTCTGCTCTGCCACGGCGCACCTTCCCCCTTTGACCTTTTTGTTTTTATAGTCCTTTTTTTTAGTTTTTGGGTTTTTTTTTTTTTTTTTTTTTTTTTTTTTTTTTCCAGTTGATGTATTTTCTCTCGATGCACTCTGTGCTGGTGCAATTGGTTGCTAGGGGGTCTTTTTTTTTCTGCCCTTGGTGGTCATAGGAATGAAGGCTCCTCATCTTCCTTGCTGATTGTCCTTGGCCTAAAAGTTAACTTGTATATAATTAGTTACACAGTCTTCTATGCTAATTGATGCTAATTATAATTGATGCTAATTGCATCTGCACAATTCTTAAGCAGAATACTTGCTGTTTCCCCCCTTTTCTCCTTCTCCTCCCACATCTTGAGATTCCCTACTCAGTTCAAATTCTTATCTCCTTCAATGCTCGTTTAATGAACAAAGACCTTTCTATGTATTACAGACACCATGGCCACAGGTATCACACGGTGGTGACAGGGATTTCACGGGGTGGGTGGCACTCTTGGCAAGGGGCAGCCTCGTGCCCAGGCACCACAGCTCTCCTGGAAGGGCAGAAAATGCTTTGAGGGAAGGGGAGATGCGCTGATGCCTCACGGCACCGGGTCAGGCATCAGGCAGAAAACCAGACTTGGGGCTGTCACAGGGCCCAGATTTGGGGCTGTCACAGAGCCCAGACTTGGGGCTGTCACAGAGCCACTTCCCTGGGCTCAGGGACCAGCAGGACACTGCTCCCCAGCAGGGCCGGGCAGCCAGAGCCTCCCCATAGCAACGGAGACAAACAAACCCCGGGGCTGCAGCGATGACTGAAGGGAAAGGGTAAGGGAACAGCCAAACTATTTTTATATTTCCGAACTACGCAGCAGCAGCAGCTATTTTTTCCTTTTCCGTGCTGAGTGGCCGCGGTGGTGTGATGGGTGATATCCCCCCTCCTTCCCCTGCGTGCTCTGAGCTGAAGTCTCAGCGATTTGTCTGACAAGTTTCACCTTGGTGGGTCCCTGGCTCATGCACAGTGCTTGCTCCCCAGTGTTAATTCACAGTGTGAGTGTGCACACCCAGACACCTCCCTGGCAGAGCTGGGACGTGCATGCAGGGAGTGTGGACACCCTCTCCGAGTTGCCACATCCCTCCAAGGGCTGGGGACAGCCTGCAGGGGATCCTGGTGGCTCCGTGCCACCAGGTGCCACCTCGGATGTCTCTGCTCCTTGGGGGCTTCTCCCAGTGGCCAAGTGTGGGCATAGGCAGTGGGGGTGGCAGAGGGGCAAGAGCTGGGAAGGAAGTCTCTCCACACAACTCCTGCAGGTGTGGGAATGTTCCCTGTGGGAAATGGAAACCCTCTGCAGCTCTTCATGAAGCGTGAGAAGGGATGAGAACGTTCTCCTTCCACAGCCAGCTTGGGGGCAGGGGTTGGGCCAGGCTCTGGTGGCTGAGGGCTCCCAGGTGGGGGTGGGTTTGACTCACCTACCTGGGCTGTCTCCATCACCCAAGGCTCCCTTTCCTGGCAGCAGGAGAAATGGGTGTGTTTTGGGCATGAGTCAACTGGCCTAATTTTGCTTTCTGTCTTAGGGTAAGGTGAATTCCTCTGGATTTTCTCCTCCTCCTTTCTGTTGGCTGCTAAGGGACATTAGCTCAGATAAATTGATGCTTCCAGTGGGCTGATGAATGGCCATCCCACGTTAGTTACTGAGTGTTAGCTGCCCATGTGCCCTCCCCTAACCTGGGCAAACATAACCTCAGTTGGCTTTGCTCATGCTGCAAGAAAGCCTGTAAAGATCCCTGAGTTGTGACAACTTATTTTTTATTGTAGTATGAAGAGAGAACAAGTCAGTGGCTCAGAAACCAAAGCCCAGCTGTGAGGAAGCCAGTGCTGCCATGCTCCTTCCTATTCATCTGATTTTTCTGTTAAAAGGTTCTTTGAGCATTTTGGTGGAAAGCGTTTCACAGCAATAACACGGAGGGAAGTGAAGGAATTACTTCAGATGTAGCTGTCTTTTTTCTGCCTTCATTTGCTTTTACTTTCCCACCAGGCTGGAAACCATGGGCAGAGTGCAGAAGTGAGGGTATCCAGGATTTGGGTTTGGGTCAGGCCACCACTGTGTCAGGCAGCACGCAGACAGTTCCTGTCCCAATCCATCACCAAAGCAGCAGCATTTGCTGGTGGTGATCACACGTTTGATGTTTTCCTCCTGGAAACTCCTGGAGGATGGAGCAGCTTCAGTGAGCAGCCACTGGGGCCAGAGGTGAAGCCCTGACCTGGAAAGGAGCCTTTGTGGGGTGGTGATTTATGGCCAAGCTGTCCAGCCATCACTGGGGGACATCAGTGCAGCTCCTGCCACAGTCATCTGGCAGAAATCTCTCCTCTTACTGGAAATTTGTTGTTTAAGGAGATGTTGATCAAACCAGCGCTCCTGCCCGGGCTTTGAACACCCTTGGAGGTCAAGTTTCAGCACGCAGCGAGGTACATGCCAACAGGTAACTGACTGAATGAATGAATCAAAGGGAAAATTAATGAGGTTTCAAACGTGGAGACAAGTCAGAGCCACGTCTCTACACCTAAATGCAAATTTGGCTTAACCCCCCCACCTCTGCATATTTGCCAAGGGGTTACAGCCCTGGCTCAGTGCTTGTTAAGCAATCGGGTAAAGCACCTTGTGTTCCTGCCTGGTGGCACAGACACATCAGCTGAGACATCCACGGCCTGGTGGTGTTTGGAGGAAGGGCTCGGTGCTGTTTGGGTGGGGATGTGTAGGAAATAAAGGAACAATAACCCCGTTCTTCAGGCGCCCCATAAATCGGCCCTTTGTTCTCTCCTCCTTGATGTGCTGGAGGAAAGTCACTGCAAGTGCCATTGTTTTCCCAGAGTGTTTTTGAAGGGCTTCAGTGTGTTCTTCAGCTTAATTCAACAGATTTACTTGTTTTCAGAATATATCAGATGAAACATTCGAGGAGAAAGCCAAGCTGTTAATTCTGTTTCTCTGCTTGCATGAGGAACCACCTCTGGAAGATTTTGAGGCTCCTTTTTTGCATTGTAAGAGGTGTCTGAGAATGGTTTATTAATGATTTCAACCTAGAGTGTCTACAAAGAGGCTGAGGTGGTTAGATGGGGAAAACCATCCCTTTCTGCCCATTACTCTTTGGTTTGTAGGCCAGGCTGGGCAGTGGCTGCACTCCCCTGGCACTGACCTGCACCCTTTCACAGGCTGTAATTCAGCAGTTCCTCACTTCAGCACAAGACTAGCAGAGAAATGGAAAGGGTGGTCCTGCTGAAAAGCTCACAGCCACGCCGATATGCTCAGAGGGAATTTATTTTCTTTTTGGCTGTAGGTGTGCTGTACATCCGTTACACATCCTAAAGCAATTATAGGAGAAAGAAACCATAAAAAGGGCTCTGTGCCCAAAACCTCACCTGTGTTTTCCAGCTGTGTTAGGGAACCTAAGAAAAGCCATTTCCTCTTTCCACAAACCATCTTTCTTTGAAGGCAGCTATGTGTGGAATAAAAAGCGGTTTTTTCTTTTCGGTGCTGTTGCAGAGCATTTAAGGAAAAGCATTAATAAGACAGGTCTCCTTCAAAGGCCAGCTGAAGAACCCTTGAAGAAAAGTCTGCCCTCCACCCTCTTCACACCACTTCAGGGACATGAGAAGTGTTGTTTTGCTGCCTCAAAAGCTGTCTGTGCTGAGGATCACAAAGGATGAGACAACTTTACCCCTCTGGCCATGTTCCTGTTGGCACTGTCACTGCACTCCTGCTCTCCTGGCTGCTCTCACCTGGGGCTAAATCCTCTTCACTTCAATGACAGGGAGACTGAGACACGTTTCAGAGGGAGAAAACAGCAAGGACTTTGTTGCAGCACTGAAATGAGTAGAAAAAAAAGTGGTTTAGTATCTGAGAAGTGATGGATCTCTCTGTCTGCCTACCCACACAAACCCTGGCTCTCAGCATAACATAAAACAACATTTTTTTTTCCTTAAAATCAACACTATCAACAAAGTGGGGATTGCATGTGACGTTGATGAGGCACAGCAACAACAACAACAGCAAAAGAAAAAGTTCTGAATTAAAACCTTTTGGGAAAGCTTGGCTTTAAGTTTGGAATTGGAGTCAGGAACGTGTGCAGGCTTGCTGGGAGGTGATCAAGGCTCGGTGTGAAAACATACCTGAGGTGTTCCCTGGGGACTTGGTTGACTGCTGCTTGTTCTGGGCTCTGATCTCCAGCAACAAGATCCACTGGGATAAGGCAGGGCTTGCTTCCAGGAGAGGTGAGGAGCGTGGATGGGAATGTTCAAGGAGTCTCTGGAGTGCTGAAGGGCTGGCAAGGTGTGAGGAGAGCGGGCCTGGAGGCTGCTGGAGGGGTGTAGGAAAATCTTCTGAGATGACTCAACCCAGGATGAAAGAGAGGGAATTTTGGGGGAGGGAAGGAAAACTGAAAACTGGCTTCTTCTCGATTTTCGTAAGTCTCCAGAGGGGCTGGGTGGGGCTGGGTGTGAGGAAAGCAGGGCTGGATGCAGAAAATGTGATAAAAAAAGAGGAGCCCTGAGCTGGACTGTGCTCAGGTGGAGATGCTCTGGCTGTTTCTTGTTCCTGATTTACCAGGAAAGTGGGAAAATATGAGCAGGAGGCATTAATCATGCCATTCCATGTAGTCCTCAAATACATTGGATTACTGGAGAATTTATTAATAGAGAGGTGGGTGATGACTTACAAACAAAGAGCTTTTAGGGCAGGAAGTCCCAGTTGTTGAGTGATAATAATTGAGTGTAATTATTTTAAATAGAACATTTCCAAAGAATGAAAACCGCTGCAATTCCCTCTTGCTGGACAGTGCTGTGGACATCAAAAAAAAAAAAAGAATGCTGCACAAGGAAAAATGCCTTTCCTGCCAAACCTGCCAGGCCAAGACACTCAAGCTTTTGTGAGCCCATGGGGAAAAATTTCTAAAAATTATTTATATAACTATTATCACCACCATACACCTGTAGGGCTCTGTGGAACCAGAGCAATGCAAGCAGACAGATGAGAAACAACTTCTGAACCTCTTGCAGGTGACTCAGTGGTGAACGGGAAAAATCTGTTGTGCTCAAAATTTGTTGTGGAAAAAGACCAAGGGCAGCATGCAAAATAACAGTATTTGAAGTCTTTACTACTCCCAGTTCTTTCAACAGGGTTTTTTAAAGACCTTGCTGTAGTCAGATTTTTTTTTTTTCTTCAGTATAAGCGGTTTGGACCTGCCTTTGAAATCACACTTTCATATTTTATGTGCTAATTTATACTCAGAAACCTGAGTCCACACTCTGCAATCCTCTGCAGGCAGGGTAAGGCTTGCAACTGCCTTCAATTATCTTTTGAAAGCAGAGAAAACGTTGGAGCTTCAAAGCTCCATGTTTTATCAGTTATGTTATTGATGGATAGCACTGAGGAAGAGTCAGCTAGGACAGTGGAAGGGATTAAAAAAAAGAATTGTTGCATCACATGCTTCATGTATATCCTTCCCTTTTCTAACTCATCAAAGAGTAGGTGGATTATTTGACTCTGTGATCCCATAGGAAGCCTTTTCCTAGACAGTGATTCAAACACTCCATCTAATTTACAGCCTAAATAAATGGATGGCCAGTGTGCATCCATATGTTCTTATGAGGAAATTATCCTGGCAGCTCTTCCCAAGTGTTTCTGCCCAGCACTCTTACAGGGAACACCTAATTTACAGAATTATAGGATCACAGAATGTCCTGTGCTGGAAGGGACCCACAGGGATCCCATCCAGTGCCAGCCCTGCCCTGCCCAGACCCCCAAAAATCCCACCCTGGGCATCCCTGGCAGTGCTGGGCAAAGGCTCCTGCAGCTCTGGCAGCCTCGGGGCCTTGCCCATTCCCTGGGCAGTGCCAGCACCTCTGGGGGAAGGGGAAGAACCTTTCCCTGATCTCCACCCTAAACCCTTTTGAGTTTTTATCCTGCTCTTTTCCCAAGGCAAAGCTTTTAGCAAAAGTATCCAGGTGATGCAGCCTTTTCTGATTATCCTGATAACCCTTCTCCACCCCTATTTTATGCCCCTTGGGAGTTCAGGCTGGGAATTGGAAGCAAGAATTGTACCTGCAATTGCAAAGGCTTTATAAGGCTGAAGCATTTTAAGGCTGAAATTCCCTCTTCACATCTGCATCCTGTTATCATTCCTAACTGCCCTTTCCTCAGGGGAGAAAGTTCTGTTGCTACCTGGTGATGAATTCCTTGCTTGGAGGAAAAAAATCAGTAATTCCCAAAGGCATGACCTTACACTACTGAATTTCCTCCCTTTTCTGCTACTTTGGGTCATGAGCCCTTACTGTAACATGCTCTAACATTCTGAATTGAAGCTGCTTCCCAGTTTTTGACATCAGCAAATTTTATTAGCACATGCTGACGTTCTGAGCCAAGGCTATCAGGAAAATTATTGAGTCAGATCAGCCTTGGAAACACTCCTGGAGAAGGAGCCTCTGTTACTGACTCTTCTCCCCACTGCCTGAGGCTCCATCCCTTTAGTTTTGCCCATCTCAGCCTCCTCCTTCTCCAGGTAAACCCATACCTTGCCCTGCAGCGTTTTTGGAACTGAGAGAGGAAAAGTTTATGGCAAATCTGATCTCTAGAAAATCAGATACCAGGTTTGACAAGAATAATCTGCCCCGAGGTGAACCCGCCTTGCATCTTGCCACATCCACCGCCCTGCCTTCAGCTGCATGTTTTATTTCCTCCTTTAAAATACATTGCTTGCCAGGAGGCGAGTCCAGCAGGCTCACAGCTGGACACATGTGTGTTTTTACCTGGGGAACAGCCCGGGTGTGAGCTTGGCTCTGCTCTGGGCTGTGGGCACACAGAGATCCTGCCCTGCAGCTGCACAAATCCCTTTTCCCTGTCCTCCAGAGAGGACTTCAGCTGTTTAATGATCCATCTCCATCCCTGGCTAGATGGGCATGCAGGGAACTCCAGTGGGAACAGAACCACGGTTTAAGCAGTGCCTGTATCAACTGTGCTTTGCTGGTGCCTTAAACAGCAAAAGCTGCAATGATCCCCCCTCACTGGTGAGTCTTTGATGAAAACTTCAGGTCAGAGATGATATTTATCCTTTTAAAAGCAAGCACGAGATGAGTGACTGCCAGTTTAGCCCCTGAACATGCATAAAACAGAGAGCCACCACTTTTTCAGGTAGTGTCGGGGACCACCCTCGGTCAGGAGTGGCTCCGTGTGGTGGAAAAACTTCTCCTCCAACCCGTGCTTCCAAAGAAAGGCTCAGTACTCTCCTGTTGTTTGGTCTCAAGGCAGTTTATTGCAAGTTATCTAAAAGATTTTATTCTCAGACTGCTGTGGTTTGCTCAGCAGCTCAGGCAGAGGCACACACACACCCTGACATCCTCTCTGACTCCCGACTGCTTCTTCTCTCCCCGCCCAGGGCTGCTGCTGTCTTTTGTATGGTACATTACGTGTTACATGGGTACAGTTTTTCCC